GACTCTTCGACCACGTCCAAATGGCTGCAGATTCGTTGCTACAGCAGATCCCCTCCGCAGAGATCGTGATCCTCGGCGACTTCAACGCCCATCACGCCGAATGGCTCGGTTCACGTTTAACCGATCATGCGGGGAGATCTGTTCATGATTTTGCCTTGGCATATGGTCTGACACAACTGGTTACTTCGCCTACGCGGATTCCAGATGTGGAGGATCATGCACCTTCCCTGTTGGACCTTCTGCTGACCTCTCACCCGGACGGATATCAGATTTCCGTCGACGCCCCTTTAGGCTCCTCGGACCATTGTCTTGTCCGGAGTGTGGTGCCACTCACGCTGAAATCGCGGTTGCATTCTGCAGGCTGCCGCCGTGTTTGGCACTATAGGTCAGCCGATTGGGATGGGATGCGGTCTTTCTTTGCATCCTACCCTTGGGGGCGGGTTTGCTTCTCGCCGGATGATCCCAACGTTGTTGCGGATTCTGTCGCTGATGTGGTACTTCAGGGTATGGAACTTTTTATTCCTTCCTCTGTGGTGCCCATTGGAGGCAAATCTCAGCCATGGTTTGGTCGCTCCTGTAAAATAGCATCATGCTATAAGCAGGAGTGCTACCAAGCCTGGGCTGACGCATCAGCGTCCAGGGATGTAAACACCAGCGCTCTAAAAAAGAAGTATAATTCCGCCTCTAGGTCCTTCAAAAGAGTCATTACCAAGGCAAAGTCAGAGCACATAGGCAGAATTGGCGAAAGACTAGTTCGTCTTCCTTCTGGAACCCGTGCATTCTGGTCTCTCGCCAAGGCTGTCCAGGGGAATTTCTGTCAGCCATCTCTTCCATCTCTGCACAGGGAGGACGACTCACTGGCCCACACCGCAAAGGAGAAAGCCGATCTTCTAGGCTCTTTCTTTGCGTCTAACTCGACTCTCGATGACGGGGGGAGTACGCCGCCGACCATCCCGCGGTGTGAGTGCTCCATGCCGGAAGTGCACTTCACTCAGCGCTCGGTTCGCAAAGCACTCCTCTCCCTGGACATCCATAAGTCGAGTGGGCCTGATGGAATCCCCCCAATTGTGCTGAGGACATGTGCTCCAGAGTTGGCACCGGTTTTAACGCGTCTTTTCCGGTACTCCTACTCCCTAGGCGTAGTCCCAAAATCATGGAAGACGGCTTTCGTCCACCCGATCCCTAAAAAAGGCGACCGCTCAGACCCGTCCAACTACCGGCCTATCGCCATCACCTCCTTGTTCTCCAAAACAATGGAGTCCATTGTAAACTGCCAGCTCATGAGGTACCTTGAGGATCGCCAGCTGATTAGTGACCGCCAATACGGTTTTCGCCGTGGTAGGTCAGCTGGTGATCTTCTGGTTTACCTAACTCACAGATGGGCGGAGGCAGTAGAGTCCAAGGGGGAGGCATTGGCCGTTAGTTTGGACATTGCGAAGGCCTTCGATCGGGTTTGGCACAAAGCGCTTCTTTCGTAGCTCCCTTCCTATGGGCTTCCCGAGAAATTGTGCGATTGGATCACCAGTTTTCTTGCAGATCGGAGCATCAAGGTCGTTGTAGACGGTGCAAGCTCCGATTGCAAGCTTATTAATGCTGGTGTTCCACAGGGCTGCGTGCTATCGCCAACGCTGTTTCTTCTGCATATCAATGATATGTTGCAAACCTGTAGCATTCATTGCTATGCAGATGACAGCACTGGTGATGTTCTTTACACCGGCCGAGCAAATATTTCTCGGGAAAACGTCTCTGAGTGCCGGGACAAACTTGTGTCTGAAGTCGAGTCTCTGCTGGACAGAGTCTCGGATTGGGGGCGACTAAATCTAGTCCAGTTTAACCCCCAGAAGACACAAGTTTGCGCGTTAACCGCTAAAAAGAACCCCTTTGTCGTATCCCCACAGTTTCAAGGCACTCCCCTTGTTGCCTCAGCCAGTATCGGAATCCTCGGCGTCGACATATCGAGTGACGTGCAGTTTCGTGGTCACTTGGAAGGGAAGGCCAAATTGGCCTCTAAAAAGCTTGGCGTGCTCAGCAGAGCGGGACAGTATTTCATGCCGGCACACCGCCTGCAACTTTACAAGGCGCAGGTTCGGCCGCTCATGGAATACTGTTCCCATCTCTGGGCTGGGGCTCCCCAGTACCAGCTCCTTCCACTTGACCGCATCCAGCGCAGAGCGGCTCGAATCGTCGACGACCGAGTGCTTTCCGATCGGCTCGATTCACTGGCGCTGCGAAGAGATGTTGCATCTCTTTGCGTATTTTATCGCATCTATCACGGGGGAGTGCTCTGAGGAATTGTTCGGATTAATCCCAGCCGCCAAATTTCGTGAACGCACTACACGGCAAACGTCCCGATACCATCCACACCATCTGGATGCTTGGCGGTCCACCACTGTACGTTTCAAAAGGAGTTTTCTTCCGCGTACAACCTCTCTGTGGAATAATTTACCACCGGTGATTTTTCCGGACCGATACGACCTGGGGACCTTCAAGAAAAGAGCTTACTCCTTTCTAAAGGGCCGGCAACGCACCTGCAATTCCCCTGGTGTTGCGGTTGATCATGGGCGGCGGTAGTCACTTAACATCAGGTGAGCCACATGCTCGTTTGCCCCCCTCTTCTATAAAAAAAAAAAAAAAAAAAAAAAAAAAAAAAAAAAATGGATTATCGAGCGGTCACGAAACCGTAGTACCCTGGTTCGAGTCCTGTGTTTAGCCTGACATTTTCATTTTTTCCGAGTTCCCTTCTTTTTTTGAGAAAATGTATTATTTCGAGCCCTTTTTTGTATTTTTTTAAAAACATGAAAATTTAAATTAAACTAATTGCACTCATGATTTTTTATTTAAATAACCTGTTCAGTTCTTTCTACGAGGGTGGATTGAAAAGTACTCGGCCTAACACAGATCCATTCAATTCTAAAAATCAAATTTACCCACATTATTTAGTTCAGTTCAGACTAGTTCATTGTATGAAGTTCGAAACGTGTGCGATAATTAGTTGTGATTTCATAAATTTATTAACAAAGTAATCGGACATAATTTCCGCGAATAGAGCAAATCGAGCAGCGTGCCGTCATTAAGTACCTCCATAAGAAGGGGCTATCATCAAAAGCCATCCATGATGACATGGTCAGTACATTAGGCGATTGTGCTCTGTCATATTCATCCGTCAAAAAATGGATAGCAGAATTTAAGCGTGGTAGAGAGAGTGTGAAAGATGAACCCCGCTCTGGAAGGCCTTCGACGTCAACTACTGACGAAAATATTAAAAAAGTACTTGATTTAATAATGGGAGACCGCAGATTAAAAATTAGAGAGATAGCCGAGATTATAGGCATCTCTTATGAATGAACTCAAAACATCATTGTCAACGAGTTGGGTTTCCACAAGGTGTCTGCGAGGTGGGTTCCGCGACTGATTTCATTTGAACAAAAAAGGACGCGATTGACTATTTCACGCGACTGTTTGGAGTTATTTGAAACCGATGCAGATGATTTTTTGAATCGTTTTGTTACTATGGACGAAACATGGGTTCATTACTGTACACCGGAAACAAAACAACAATCAAAACAGTGGAGAAGACCTGGTTCACCACCCCCTAAAAAAGGCTAAGTCGATTTTGTCGGCAAATAAGGTGATGGCTTCAGTATTCTGGGACTCGAAAGGTGTGATTATGATTGATTATCTTGAAAGGGGTCAGACTATAAACTCTGATTACTACTGCACCTTACTACGTCGTTTACGAGAGGAAATAAAAGAAAAACGTCGAGGAATGCTCAGAAGAAAAGTCGTGTTTCATTAAGATAACACCCGTGTTTACACGTCAGTACAGTCAATGGCTGAAATTCACAACTGTGGCTTTGAACTGTTACCGCATCCACCGTATTCACCTGATCTGGCACCATCAGACTTCTTTCTGTTCCCTAACCTAAAAAAAGCACTTGGGAGGTCAAAGATTTTCGACAAACGACGAGGTCAAAGCAGCTGTAGACGCATATTTTGACTCTAAGGTAGAATCATTTTTTTTCAACGGTCTAAATGCTTGGAAGGGGAGGTGGCAAAAGTGTATTGAACTTGATGGTGATTATGTAGAAAAATAGAAATATAACTGATTTAGTATGTGTTTATTTTCTTGGTTAGGCCGAGTACTATTCAATCCACCCTCGTATTATGTTGGTAAGATCAAGAAATATTATTCATATTTCATCAGTATGTAATTTGTATCTAAATATAATTTCCAAAACCCAAAAAAAAATGGTCACCCAGGTACTTATTATCAAAGTTTAGAAAATTAATAATATAAAGGTAAGCATGGTCCAGGCTAATTATGACTTTTACCATTCAAATTGGAATACAGCAACAGGTGCAAGGCTGTTTGGTGGAGCTGAAGTGGCAATGGGCCGGCCGTATAGCTCGAACATCCAACAACCGATAGGGAAGAATGGTTCTTGAGTGGCAGCCTCGAAATGAATGGCGGCCCACTAGATGGAGTGACGATCTGGTGATACATGCAGGAAGTCTATGGATGAAGGTGGCTCGGTTCCGTGGTTCTTAGTGTTCCTTAAGGGAGGCCTATGTTCAGCAGTCTGACTTGTGAAGGGCTGGAATGATGATGATGATGATGTTTGGCAGGATAAATAATTAACAGGGTTGTACCATCCCATATAACGATTATTTTAGCGATATTGATATTTTTGCTACCTCACATTTGTGCTTTAAAAAATATATTAAGAATAAATTACATGTACTACAAATTTAAAAATTGATTGTTGCAAGATTCTTTTATACTGTTTAATACTTAGATTTTTTGTGGTGGTAAATTTTTTTCTTCAACTCATTAATTATTGTTTATATACTAATATACTAGTATACTGTGTTGAATGTGCATATACTATACTCTTTTTTGATAATACTTTTATAAATACCTTTGTACATTTGTTTTTATATCTTTTAATAAAATCAAAAAAAATAAAGTTACCTTGTCAATAAATCTAACATACACCCACCTGCACTGTACAAAGATCGTCTGAGGACTCATCGCTGGTTGTTCCAATGAAATCGAACGTGAGACAACTGTGCGCGAGTCTGAGCAGTCCGGCCAACAAAGCCTGCTGTCCGCTATCTGCCAAGTCCAGTGTCTTGCCCCGAGCCGCACTCAGTAATGAGCAGGCCAGACGGAACATCTCAAACAATTGCGTATCTCTGAAAATTTAATCAATAACATTCACTAACAAATCCATCACACAGTGGATCCAGAGACAATGAAGCTACATGCACAACAGTATTTAAAATAGAGCGGTGGAAGCTCAAGCGCTCGCTGTAAATTTCACAGTATGTGAGCAACCTGGGTTCGATCCCTGACCACACCAATGATACTGTTAATTACAATTTCAAGTATTGATATACCATAAGGTCGGCGGTTAAGGAAAATATCTTAAAGAAACCTGCATGTCTGAGAAATAAGAAAAATAATTGATAGAATCAGGCGTTACTTTGCGGAAATCCATTATAATAAGTGAATCTTAGCGGTCAGCCGCCGTAGAGTCTACATCACCTGAGGATGCCTCGTGTAGAGGCGAAACACGTGTCGTATTATCGTCGATGGTGTGTCTTTTCTGGAGATTGGTGTTGGGAGTAGTGGTGCAGGGAGTAGTGGTGTTGGGAATAGTGGTGCTGGGATTAGTGATGACGGGATTAGTGTAAGCAATTGAGGGAGGGCGGGAGGTGCTCTTCAAAGTAATTAAGACACATCATTTGATTTTATTCAGCGGATGGTTGCAAAGTAACTATTAATATGTTTAATGGCTGCAAAGTAACTATTAATATCTTTAAAATAAGAAAAAAAATGTTTTGAAGACATGTCAAGTTCGTCAACGTGAATTAGAGCAGCGCGGCGAACATTTTCTTGTCCTAAAGACTTTTTAAAAATGAGAAGAGGCTTGTGGCCAGTGGGACATATATAGGCTGAAACTTCGAAATAACTTTACTAACTTATTTAAAGGTTTCATTTGATGAGAGATCAAGAGCCGAAGACCTTTTTTACTGAAAACGAGGCCATTCTTCCATCTTAGTTCTCAGGAGTGACAACGTATTCGCATTATGATTTTTTATTGAGGAGAAATATAGATGTCTATGGGCCACAGCATCCACTTATCATCAGATGGACTGTGTGCTCGTTTGTAACCCTTATACTATAAAAAAGCATTTTATTTTATTTTATTACATTTATGTGTATAAAATGCAATATATTTTTTATTCATTTTCATTTTATGTACATAGACTATTGAATGCAGTTTTTTCATCATTCATTATTTACTTCCTATCCTTATTAAAAATCCATTTCTGAGCGCTAGTCCTCTCCGATAGATTGGCTTATAACCCCCCGTATGCTATAGTTGGCAACATGAGGGAGCCAAATTACTGGTTCTGACAACACCCTTCAGAACAACAACCATTGCTACGTCATTTATTTATTAAAAAAAAAAGAATATTAACAATGCTATAAACATTACTAATATTCCCCTTAACCACTTGTGGTAAGCTTAAATTGCTTGTGTTACGAGTGGTTCACGCCAATAGTAGAATGGCGGATTCGAACCCACGACCTTTTGAGTTCGCGGTCCGCGCCCTGCCATTAGGCTACTGTCGCTTCAAATCGTCGTCGTCATTGACAATTAGAAAGAAAGAAAGAAAAGTTTATTTGGTACATACATTATAACAAAAAGAATAAAACTAAAACATTTTATTTTTAATATCTTATCAAAAATATTTGAAAAAGGAATAACAAAATATGCACCAAAATGGTCTCCACTCAGCTTAAAGTCACGAATTGAAGATATAAATACATCAATTCGTAACGCTGATTTTCAGTGGAGCCAGGAGTGTGAGGCAGATGACAAGTAACAGCAAGAGAAAAATGAACTAAACATAAATATAAAATAAAATTAGAAAAAAAAACTGTCAAATGGCTCCAATGATAAAATTTTGTATCGAGGGAGTTTTGGGGGCAATAAATCGATCTAGCTAATATTCATTTTTAGAAAATGTCGTTTTATCCGTGTTTTCAGGCAATGAAAAACTGCTACAATATCGTTAGAATAAGAAGGTAAATTTTAACAGTGTATTAATGATTATAATAGCTCAAATGGGTTATCGAGCGGTCACGATTACGATACGATTCAACGTGTCAGTGCAACTTTGATAGTGTAGAGATGGACGAACGGTGGTATGGATACAGAAAAAATAAAATAAATTGTGTATGTGTATGTGTGCATGCGTGTTTAAGTGTGTGAGTGCGTTCGTATGTGCATCTACAGTACTAGCATTGAGATTGAATCATACCATTTATGCCTATTTGCTGGATTTTTGTACGGAAATCAGAAACTTTTTTAATAAAGTTTTAAAAGTGGCAACTGTTTTACTATTTCTGATCGGTGGTGGTATATCATTCCAGCACTTCGTGGCAGCAAAACGGAAACTACCACGGAAGGCAGCTGTGTGATGCTTAGGGTATGTGAGTCGTGATGCTGTCCTAACCGCACGCTGCGAGAAAATAAGTTTTTGGTATAAGTATGATGGTTCCCTGGTATTTATAACTCCAAAAAGCAATGATGCAAGGTGTAGGGTACGTCGAGCAGCCATACTCATCAGGTCGTGTCGATTTAAAAATGGGGTGATGTGTGATCTCTTAGGGACTGTGAAGCAGAAACGTGCGCAGGCGTTTTGAACCCTTTGTATTGATTTTTTTCGTTCTTGCGAGCAAGCATTCTCCAAATACTGTATCCGCATAAGTTAACTTCGACAGAATGAGTGATTCACACAACCTAATGCGCATGTCCACCGTCAAATACGCTCTGATCTGGTACAAGACTTTGAGTCTATAGAAACAGTTACGCATGGTTTCTTGTACATGACCCTCAAAACGCAACCTTCCGTCCATAACGAGACCTAAGTTCCGAGCTTCCAACACACGTTCTAAAGGAGTAGTCTTGATGTTAATTTGCGGATTGAAAGTTAGAATATTATTTGTCTGGTTATGCATTACCAGTAACATATACTTCGATTTAATGGGGTTCAATACGAGATTATTTTGATAACACCAATCGGCTATGCGGTCCAAATCCGAGTTGATTTTTTTATTGCTATATTGGTGTCACTAGGTTTAAAAGAGATATACAATTGAAGGTTGTCAGCATATATATGATAACTACAATTTTTATGGTGTTCACTATATCTGAACAATACGATATAAAAAGTATAGGCCCCAAAATGGATCCTTGAGGTGCACCTCTTTTAACTTGCAACGTTGTAGATATCCATTCTGATACATTGTCTTTATTTATTTTAACAAATTGTGTACGATTAGTGAGGTAACTCGCAAACCATTTTATTGTTAAATTATCAAATCCGTAGTAAGCGAGTTTTGATAAGAGTAGAGTGGTGTTAATGGTATCAAAAGCTCGGGAAAAGTCAAGCAAAACTAACAGAGTACCCTCTCCAACATCTTGTGCAGTCAGAATATCATCCACTACATCCATGAGAGCGGTTGCAGTGCTACGAGACTTTCTGAATCCGGATTGCTTTTTAGACAGGATATTATTAGCCTCAAGGTAATCCGTCATCTGTGTACAGACTACTCTTTCCAAAATTTTTGACATAAAGGGCAAGATACTTATAGGGCGGAGATCCTTGTAGTCATTTGGATTGGACTTTTTGGGAATCGGTTTTACTAAAGCTATTTTCCACTGCCTTGGGAATACACCTGCTTCAATAGATTTGTTAATTATTCCGGTAATAACTGTCAATGTTCTGGGTAAAGTTAATATTATCATGTTCAGAGTAATGCCATCATGACCTTGTGCATTTGTTGTAAAAGATTTTATTATATTAAGGACAGTTGTTTCATTAACCATATTAAGCTTAAAAGTGCTAGGCCCAAATCTATCAAATTCGTAGCTAGTTAAACGTGATAAACTGACTTCATTATTGTCGGGGAGCTCAAGAAAATAATGATTTATATTATTCGGATTACATAAATGAGACGGTAGTTCAATGTCTTTTTTCTTAAAGTTAGCAACGTTTGGTTTGATATTTTTCATAAATTACGTGGGTTTTTTATCGTATTAATATAATTATTAAAATATGCAGTTTTTTCATTGTGAATTACCGTCCTTACAATGTTTTTTAATTCCTTGTAATATTGTTTATGAATATCAAGTTTCGTAAATCTACTTTTAGCATGTAATTCATCGCGTAATTTTATCATTTCTTTAACAGTATAGGTTATCCACGGAAAAGAGTCTTTTTTATATAAAACGATCTAACCGGAGCGTACACATTGAATAGGTCAAGTAAAATTTTCCACCATTTTATCAACATCGCCTTTTACAACACTTTCCCATTCTATAGAATTGAGATCTAAGACAAATTTTTCTGTATCTATATTCTTTAATGGTCTATAGGTAATTATCTTAGGTGCATGTTTGATTTTATTAATATTGAGTTCACAAGTTAAAAATGCATGACTGCAAAGATCAGGAATATAATTAATTGATACCTTATAAAGAGTCATATTAGAACAAATTACATCAATCAATGTTTCACTATGATCTGTGAAGTGCGTCGGTTGCTTTACAAACTGAGTAAGATTCATGTAATTAAAGAAACTTTGCAGCTTCTTAACATTCGTTTCCTGTATGTTAAGAAGATTTATGTTGAAATAACCGAGTAAGACTATATATTCTAATTTACCGAAAGAAGAAACGGATTCCGTGAGGGCATCAATAAAACTATCGACATTTACCCACGGGGCACGATAGGCCGTACCAATCGCTACTTTGATGCCGTTAATACTTAATTCTAGCCACATTTGTTCTACTAAATTGCTAGTAGGGTGCAGAATTTTGCGAACGTTGACTCCAATACTAACGTAAAATCCGACTCCACCACCACGTGCACGCAATTCGGTGGGACGCGGTACGTGAAGGAACCGATACCCCGGCGGTGAAGGTGCACGGCCCTCTTCGCCCTCTCTTATCCACGTTTCGTTGATAGCCATTACGTCTACCTGATACCGTGACATTGCTACGAGAAACTCATCATGGCGGGTGCCTAGGGAGCCAGCGTTTAAGAAACCGATTGACAGTCTTCTCTTTACTATAAATTGAAAAACAAACGCATAGACAATTTGAACGTTTTTACAGCATAGAATGAATTTACACAAAAGTGTTAAATGTCGCCAACATAATAAAGTATAAATCCTTATGGAGTAATGTTTTGTAGTATATATGTTTCGATGTATTAGATGTAAGTGTGTGTAGAATGTGTAAAAATGTCAAATCTAAATAACGCAAGTATATTTGGAACGTAGCTTGGATCGATGCTGTATGCATAATGAGTGAGCTAAATGAGTTAATATACAAAAATATTGACAAATACTCGTAAGTATACGATTTTAAGTCTAAGAACATATTAACATTAAAACAAATAATCTTAAAATAAGTTATAACAAAAATAAAAATAAAGAGATTTTTTTGAAGGTAAATTTACAAAATCACAATACCAAAGATAAAACATTACAACAATTAATAAAAATCATGGAATTAATGGTTCAAATATGCCGGAGTTACAGAATTTTAAAATAAAAATGAAAACTATGTTTAACACTTTAAGATTAAAACATAGGAAGAAATACAAATAGTAATTTATTAAAAATAAGTATACAGTTAACAGCGGCCATAAATAACAATTAAATAAACTATTATTACGAAAACGAAACCAAAGGAGGTATTTTATTTTAAAATGAAATATGCTTAAGAAAATATCAGTGTCATTATTTAGATCAAATTTAATTACATGAACCAACGTTCTCAATGCCCAAAAACTTTAATGAAATCGTGCTCCGAACGTAAGCGATATCGTGGTTCGCCGTTATCTTTACGCACAAAAATTTTCCCTTCCCGAGTCCATGTGTACTTCCACTGGGCCCGCTTGCATTCTACGCGTGCCTTGTAAAACAATAGTCAGTTAAATTTGGTCAATCTTTCATTGATATGGAATGGAAATATGGCAGAATCGAGTCCTAGGCCCTCCGTGGTAGTGCCGCGACGAACGCGCGCCACCGCCAGCAGACTGTCCCGGAGCGCGCGGCGCGCCAACCGCACTACTAAAGGACGGGGCCGTACACTACCGTTTTGATCCACTGCGCGGCGAATGGGCCCTGCAAGCTCCGCATTCACGAGGTCTCGCTCCTCTAGAGTGACTCCCAACTTAGTAGCTACTGCCAGTACCAGATGAACGGATTGTTCGTTTTTTTCCTCTGGTATTCCCGAGATCTCAATGTCATTACACAGCAACTCTTGGTCCCGATCGTTGAGTTCCGCCTTCAAATCAGCAATTATTGTTTCTAAATTACAGGTGTCATCTGATTTTCTACTGTTCTGATGACATTCCACGGCCTCCACTCGAGCTTCGAGGCTGTCAAGTCGCTGGTTGCATCCGTTAATAGCCACAACAAGATTTGTGATGGTGCCCTTTAATTCCTGCATATTAATGCACATCTCCTTCAGCTCTTGCCGTAATAATCTTAGTTCAGTCGCCAATTCAGTGGACTCTATATCCGATGTAGTTGAGGTATGTGCAGTTGGAGCCGATGAACTCGGTTTATTGATACGACCAAGTAAGGTGACATTCGTACAGCTGGAATCCATTAAATCCTGCTTAATAGGCGTGTTTGTGTTATCAGACTTCGGTTCCCTGCTTAAACATTCCTGACATTTCCATTTTCGTTTATGTTCTGTAGTCATGGTATTATAGAATCGTTTTTCACATACATTTGCGCACATGAGGTCATAATGCTTGGTGCAAACATAACACTTTAAAAACTGCCTGCTAATAATTTCTTGTGAACATCCATTACAAAGAATTTTATTCATAGTTGGAGGCGCCATCTTTCTCTTTGCGAGGGTAAACTCGAGTAGTAAGGTAATTCAATAAAGCGGGTGAAAAATATTGATAATTGTGATTCTATGATTTACTTCTAGATGGCGCCGTTACACAGATCTTTAATTCCCTATGAGATATGAGTAAATTTTAAATTATACTGAGTAGGTTTATAAAAATAACCATCACAAGATTAAGTATTAAGGTTACTAAGTATTTAAAGTACTGAAGATAATTACTAATAGTATAGTTTTGCTTAATTTCACTATGTACACCGTCTTTTGAACTTTTATATTAAAGGTAAAACTAGTATTTCGTCATAATACACTCAAACACAACGTATTTAGAAATCTTATAATCTTTCGTTCTGACACAATAATTCACATGGATAACACTATCACTGTATAGTAGCTAAAGCCACTGAATGTTAGCAATATTACACAAAATAGCTCACGGATACTATTATTAGATTAAATATTTAAGCAAGACGATGTTACTTGTGTGCCAGCGCCATCTGCCATCAATTGTATGCAGTTACTACATAGAAAGTTAAAGTTTCAGCCAGTAGCCAATATACACCCCAAATCTGGGCACGGACCTCCTCTCATTTCTGAGAAGGTTTTAGGACAAGGAAATGTCCGCCGCGCTGCCGCTATACGTGTTGACCAACTTTACATGTCTTCGAAATATTGTTTGCTATTTCTTATTTCTTTGACATGCATATTTTCCTTCACCAAGGAGCATGTGGTAAGTCAGCATTTAACATTGCAATAAAAAATTTCATTGGTTCCGGCAGGGATTGGACCCGGGCTTATCATGTACTCTGAAATTTACAGTATGCAATTAGACCCTGTGCTACCAGGGCTCGCGTTTAGAAAATATGAGACTTCAATTATAATAGTACACCATTATGTATAGATATCTCACCTAAATGATGAAGCAATCTTCCTGTGCTTGGAAAGCGATCGACTGGCATCTGCCTCGGACACCTGATTCATTTCCAGCACCAGTTGCGACAGAAGTTGCACACCTATAGTGCACATCTCTGCCGGACCCTGTAATTCATCAATATATCGTTATAATAATGCGGTTACCGTTACAGCCTACTAAAGTCCACTGCTGAACATAAGCCTATTTGCCATAAATGCCACGCTTGGCAAGCGGGTTGGCAACAGAATTTTTAAGCTATTGCATAGCTTTTATCGCGGGCTTTGAGCGCGGCGACCGAATCAAGTAATTCCGTAACGAAAAAACCTAAGACCCGAAAACCATACATCGTCTAACGTCGTTTAAGTATCGGCAGACTTCGGCACGGTGTTTGTGCGCGTGCTACTAGACGTATGCGTGTAGACTAGTTGCATGTATTGCAAGATAATAAAAATATTTTAAACAATAATATAGTTTATTGCAATAAGCATATACTTTGGATTTATATGAGTCGTTGTCATGCTGGCAACCTTCGTGAATTTAGAGTATTTAATAAACATTTTATAGAAAATTATTGTTTGTCGGAAGAACTCGTTAATAACCATAAACTTATAGTTTCAATGATAAAAATTCCTGAATAAGCTACATCTATTCTAAGATAATAAAAATATTTTAAACAATATTAACTTTTCATTTATTCAATAAAAGAAAAAAAATTGTTTTCTTATCGGTCACCACACTCAAAAAGTGTAACTTGAATTAATATCAAAGAAAAAAAAACAAAGAAAAAAATACTGCATAAATAAAATAAATAAATAATTATAATTGCATAAGTTGATAAAAATGCTATGAAATAGCTTTACCGCGGCAGTCCCCGAGGGCCACATGTCTTTTATTTTTTATTATTTTTAGTCGTTATTAAGAAGACGCTGCTGCCCATCTCCTGATTTGTTTCCCTCTATTGCCTCCTGCGACACCCACGGGATGATAGGGGGTGGTGGAGATTTTTACACCGACACAATACGGTGGCCTTCTTTATATGACATATAGTAACTACTTACCATCAATTCTATATAAACAAAATGATGTTGAGACACAATTAAATTTCCAAACTCACCGTTGGCTTCTAGAAGCAACTTATCTCCGTTCGTCCGGTTGACAGAGTCACCTCTTACAACAACCACAGTGTGATATGGGCTAGTGGATATTCTTACACCACTACTACATGGCAGCTGCATTATATGTGGCGGGCTCATATATTTTACTTTATGAGCTTTATGAAAATTGGTAATAGATTAATTACCTGTAAGAAGCTGGAGATGTCGTTCATGACATTGTGGAAAACATATTCCCCCTTGACCATGTCGAACCAGCCCAGTTTGGTGATCCGTGCGAATAGCGACACCAATGACTGTGAACAACCAATAAAACATTTAATTAAAACAATAATGTTGTTTTTATAGGATGATGGTGACAAAAGAGCATACAATCCACCTGGTGGTAAGTTGACACTGCGGTTCATAGACATGTACATCTCATATTCAACGGACTGACTGACTATACTGACTTTCTCAATGATAAATTTTGACTGACAAACAAATCAACCGATTTTGCTGCTGCCCATCTCCTGTTTTGTTTCCCTCTGTCATTGCTTACGACACTCACGGGATGATATGGGGTATTCGATGCAACGTGTTGCAAATTTAATTCAACTAACGAATAATTTATTTTTATTCGACTACTCCGTATGTAACAATGGTATACATACCTGCACGACGAAACTGGCCAGTTTTGGCCGAGTCGCGAGATAGTTAAGGACATAGTTTCTGATGTCCAACCGCTGCTGCACTGATAGACTTGTTGTCGATCTGAAAATATCAGACCAATTAAAATATATTAATATTATTTAGAACAGAATAGAATCATTGTTATTTAATATAGATTACAAAAATACTTATTGAAAGTCATTTAAGCTTTACCACTTTAAAAAAAACATAATTTACACTATAATATATTATACAATTAAAATGAAAAGATTTAGAAAAAGCATGGTAGCTTCATTACCAGGGGTTATTATCAATCATGCACTCTTTAGTAGTATAACAATCGTTACAAAAAAATAATATTTTGCTTTTTTATACCCTGTTGTTTTGTATGGAAACGAGGCATTCCATCTTAGTCCTCATGGGTGACAACTGACATTGCATCTGCATTTTGATTTTTAATCGAGGATAGATGTAGATGTCTATGGGCCGCAGCAACCACTTACCATCAAGTGGACTATGATTTCGTTTGTCACACATAATCTATAAAGAAAAAGCAAAAGATGTCTGCCAGGTCAGCTAGTGTATTTCTAAAGTAAACACACTAATTACCTGCTAATGAGCTTAGCGAGCGTTGTGGCCGCCAATAGCTGTGAGTAACTGGAATCGGCACGTTCCAACAGAGCTTGGCATTTGCTGAGAGTGTCCGGAGATTCCTGAGTGAGCATAAATTAATTACAGATTAGTATATTTAATTTAATATGTATCTTTTCTAGTGCGCGGGCATAAGGGGTTTCTTCTTTATATCACATTATTGCCACTTTTAAAAAACATGTTTACATATAAACTAATTACTTAACCTTAATTAAATAATAGACAAACGGAGTAGACTCAGCTTTTCCTTACATAGAACTAAGATCTCATGAAGCACTGGTTTTAGGCACTCCTTCCTCCCTGAGATGTTACATGGGTGTTATGAGAATTTTGAGTTCTCCAATTACCTCTATCATTTACTCATCTATATTATTGGAATTTAAGATAGTAGGGTTGTCTTCACAACCCTACTTTCATAATTATTTATTAATAAATCTTGCATTCTTGCATGCGTGCGTGCGTGCGTGCGTGCGTACTTAACAGGTTTAATGAGTTTGTACGAAGGCTTCTATGTGAAATGTCTTTGATTCATAGGAGTTTTTCAAATAGGTACTCATGCTTTTTGTTCCATATTACCCTATGCACTGTACAAGCGTACTGAAGCTCCCTTCTAGCACTCATATTGAGTAAGCACTTTTTATTTAAGTATGGGGTAATAGATCTCTTTTGGGCACATTAAAGCAAAAACGAATACAGGCATTTTGCACTCTTTGTATTACCCGCTGAAGATATCCAGTTACAATTCTAGCAATGTGCGGTCTTGCGTTATTATGCACAAGTTGAAAATCGTCCCCAATATACCCAGATTAAGGCATAACATGAGGTTACAAAATGTCTGTAATGTAACTTTCAGCATTAACTGTAAGACTGCGAAAGAAAACCAACTCAGTACATCCGGTTAAAATATGCCACCCCAAAACATTGTAGAGCCTCCACCAAACCGGACTGTTTCTCTTATGCAACACTGAGCATAACATTCTTCTGGTCTTTACATAATGCTAAGACGTCCAACAGAGCCCACAAGGGTCATTCGACTTTCATCGCTGAAGAGGACTGTCTCCCATTGACCAAGATTCCATTGCATGTGTTGCCTAGCAAATTCTAACCTTGCTTGCCGATGAGATGCAGTGAGTTTTGGTCCCGTCGCTGGCTAGTGTAGTGTCAGGTTTTGCTCCCGAAGTCTTCTTCTCACCGTATTCTCACTTACAGACATTCCAAGAGTTTCACTCAGCCTACCCTAAACATCAACAGCAGAAAGATGCTGATTTCGCAAAGAAGTCAAGGCAATAAACAGTCATCCATTGAGTTTGTAAGATTTCCTCTTCCAGACCCTGGTCTCCGGCGGTACTCTCCCGTTTCTAAGTATCGTTTATAAACTCTACGCACTGCTGATTGACACAAATTTATTCTTCTTGCCACACTTCGCTGACTTAGCCCTTCAAAAACAAGCGCTACCACTTGAGCGGCTTCTGCTTCAGTGGTATCCATATTTTATGGTTAAAAGAAACAATATATCTGCTCCAACAAAGAATTAAAAGATCAAGTCACTACGATGCACAGAAACAAGAATATTACGCGTCAAAGGTCCGAAATAAACTAACCTTGCACTCCATGCACAAGTTGACAATTTTTATCACCGTGCTTAAAATGTTACAAATACCCATAATAGCACTTGTATTCCTCTAAAACAATGTCAAGTGGGTACTCAGATGTTAATTTATAACGCATAAGCAAAAACATACAAATAACAAATTTGTTACTCAAAAATAAAGGGTGCATCCATTGTTTTGGAGGCCAGAGTAGGTAAGACAGATCATTGCAATGGCAAGTTTATTTTTTACAACTATTAAATGTTAAGTAACACCCGATTCTATTATATTGTAAAAAAAAAGATTAATCAAGTGGCAATTATACATAGTGTAGTCCTAACATCAACTCAAACTCAGTTGTTTATATTAATTAACTCAATCTACATTAGTTTCTAAAATTCGTAAAGTTAAATAAAAGTATTTTTTTAATAGAATTAAGGTGCAAATGAGCACACAGTACACCTGATGGTAAGTGGATGCTTGGCCCATAGATATCTACATTTATCCTCGATTAAGAATCAAAATGCAAATTCGTTGTCACCCATGAGGACTAAGATGGAATGCCTCGTTTCCAGTAAAAAAGGGTCTGCGGATCTCTACACACACCATACAAAACACAGCAGTATTAAGCTGCTGTTTTATGCTGGTATTCTGCGAGAGAGTGGTCCTTCCCCGATCGAGCCACACAACGAGGACGAGGGTCAGCTCACAGAGAAAGATCAGCTCAAATTGCATGTGTGAAATGACCCTTGTCATTAGGTTCTAATTAAATAAACAAAAATAAAGTTTTATGTGATAGAACCACTCCACATCTAGCTAACCATACCAGGCTGCGGCACAAAAAGGTCTACTCAACCTAGTTAGGACCATGCTCTCACAGAATACCAGCATGAAACAGCTGAATAATGCTGTGGTGTTTTGTATGGTGAGTGTAGAGAACTGGAAACCCTAATTACATGAAATAAGACATTCCATTTTAGTCCTTAGGTGAGACAATGCATCTGCACATTGATTCTTAATCAACAATAGACGTAGATATCTATGGACCATAGTATCTGCTTACCACCAGGTGGACTATGTACTCATTTGGTACTTATTCTATTAAAAGGCTACACGTCTTACTGCTGGGCACAGGAGTATCATTTTTGAGAGGGAAATTTAAAAAAAAAAAAAAAACAAAACACCCCATCCAAAAAAAAAATTTTTTGTGGAAAGGAAATATGGGGGGAAAGGAAAAAAAAAAAATTAAAAAAAAATTGTTTTTATAAAAAAAAAACAAAAAAAAAACAAAACCACAACAAAACAAAAAAGGAAGAAAAAAAATTTAAAAACATATATAATTTTTTCCCCAAAACAATTAATAAAAAACCCCCCCACAAAAAAAAAAAAATAATTTTCACAATACATACCTGAAAGCCGACAACTGCCTTCTCAGCTTGCTCTCTAATGATGGGGTCCTGGGACTCATACAGCTGTTTGCACAGCAACTCTATCTGACACACCTCCTAAAATTTTATTTATCTATTATTAACTTTAATATTATTTATGTATTTTACTTTATATATATAGTTATTTTTCTTCAAACATCCACCACTGCATCCTAGTGTAACATGGACTTTTTTGTATTAGCATTACATCAGAGTTGGGTGGTTTTGAATAAATTGCTTCATTGGTGAAAGCATGTTTGATCGCAGCAATAACTTCCAAATACTTTCAGAAACAATTAAGTTGGCAAGAGGTATTACGGTGATATATGCCATAATATATGATATAGGTAGGACTGTGCAACTAAGCACATATTTTACAAATAGGCAGGAATTAACACTATATGATCCATCCTAGCTCATTGATGAAATTTGATAACTACTTAATGTTGCTAAAGATCTCATGGGAGTCATACCAACAAGGTACTTAACCCAGAAGCTGTTGTCTGCGGTGCATCCAAGCAGGATATGAACTGCCATTTCTACTACAGTGAAATGTTATAGCGAAGAAAAAAGATGCAGTATTATTATTATATCATGAAATATCCACTGACGAACATAGGCCCCCTGATTAATTGCCTAATATTAATTACCAGTCGATACACTAGGCAGGATGATCGGCAACTACAGTTTTGTATTATTTTGAGCTGTTGTCATACTATTATCATGCTGAAGAAATTGAAAAAGTATGCACACAGTGTGCATCTTTTTTCAATTTCCATTTTTAGCCTCTTGCAAAACCCATAGATGCTACAGGGTAATTCACAAAATAACAGCGTGAAATTGCAGCATAGTGCTGTTGTGTTGGATATCATAATCATCATCATAATTATCCCTTTTACTAGTAATGAGGTTTCATGTCTTAGTTTTAAAAAAAGATGCATGAACAATATTCACCCTATCACATTATCCATCATTGACACATATTGTTTTAAATTATGACTGGTAGTAAAACTATGGGCACTGTTTGTTTATATACAAATGAAGACTATACCGAATTATTTATAGACTTAATTTTTATTACACTAGGTTAAACCATATTTGATTTGAATTTTAAACTATATCATAATAGGATCTATACAGTTGAAAATTTGTCACCTAAGTATACTCATCATAGAGAAAGTACAACTGCGACGTAATTTAAGACGAAAATACTTCATATTTGGCGAATGATTTCAAGGGGAAACTCTGTGTCACCAGTGTAAAATATAACCAAAAAGCCGGTATATTTATAAAACTTTGTGTCATTAATAGATTTATTATCGAAAAAAGGTGTAATTTAACACAATTTGAGGTTAAAATAGCTGTAAAATACTTTATTTAGAGGCTTCAATACGGGGTACAACGTCCCGAAATTTTAATGTTATGAAAACTTGGAATTTACAGAAATATGAACTTTCACATTAAGCAACACTGTTCGTTAAATTATTAAACACACTTTCCAACATAAATGTATGCATAATTCAGTTAAAATCTAACAAAAAGCGCAATATTTTGATACCTGTTCTTCAGCCATCTTTGTTATTTTCTCGCATTTGGAATGACGTTTCGTTCTAAAGTATTGTCTAAATGAAACTAATAATTTCATTGTTACATATTAATTACAAATTATAAAAAATTAAAATTAGTTTATTTTAATATATTTTAAAATTGTTACATGTCAACTAAAAATTAAATATGTAAAACCTTAAGGAAAAATATTCCAAGATTTTGCGAAATATCGCAATTCGTAAACGATACATCTGCATTCTGCAACAATACACTTTGTACGTCTGTGACTCGAAGACGTCTACTATACAATTAGAATTATTAGTTCTGTGAAGACATCTTATTCGCCACGGATTTTTAATATACTTTTATTTAATTCTTCGCTTATTGCCAAATTGCCAAATGCCAATCGAAAAGTGGACCGTCGTAGTAAAAACAGAAATAGATCTTAAAATTACATTTTTAATCATTAAAAGGTAAAACGTAGTGATTATGTACTCTTTTCTTAAAGTATTAAAACCAAAAACATTATTATACCTACAATATCTTTGTAAAAAAACATCATGTAGCAACACAGGAGAGGAGAAGCCATAGAATAGTAAAACATAATAGTAGGCTATCTTCTAAGAAATGTACCGAACGCCGCTAATATGTGTGCTTGCCTGGCACGTGACACTACGGACTCGTACGCACGAGCCATAACACGCACACAACGACACTTGCAAAGTCGGGAAGATCGGGCCGATTCGGGGATGCCCACCGCCGCGCTACGCAATCACCTTTGTTTGAGACTTTGTTGACTTTTAATAAAATTTAGCTAGCAGTCTTTTTTCGTTTTATTTTTTTCTTTTTGTAAAATAAATTCACATATGCGTTTGTTTAAGTAAATTAGCTTTTTATTAGTGGGTTATATTACTATATCTACATACACCATATAGATACATACCCTATAGGTACGTTAATTATCAGTACCCGGATGATTCTTTTTAAATTACATTTAGATACAAATTACATACTGATGAATAATATTTTTTGATCTTATAGACATAATAGAAAAAACTGAACTGGTTATTTGAATAGAAAATCATGAGTGCAATTAGTTTAATTAAAATTTTCGTATTTTTAAAAAATACTAAAAAAAAGTGCTCGAAATAATAGATTTTCTCACAAAAGAAGGGAACTTGAAAAAAAAAGGAAAAAATCTGGACGGAAGACAGGACGCAAACCAAGGCATTACGATTTCGCGACCGCTCGATATCCACTTGAGCTATTACGATCATTAACACAATGTCAAAATTAACCTTCTAATATCGTAGTAGTTTTTCATTGCCTGAAAACACGGTCAAAAAGACATTTTCTAAAATAAATCCTAGCTGGATCGATTTCTGGTCCCCAAAACTCCCTGGACACAACATTTTATGAAAATCGATGGAGCCGTTTCCGAGATTCCGATTACACACACACACACACACACTTACACACACACACACACACACACACCACACAACAAACACACACACACACACACACATATATAACAAAATAATTTTAATGAAAAAAAAAACTAATTTGCAAATTGTATGTGGTTTTATTATATCTGCATTGTCCGAGGAGTAAGAGGATTGTCAAAGACCCCGCATTACCGATACTCGTGTAAGTTAGAGGAAATGCAACCACATACAATTTGCAAATAATTTTTTTTCAGTAAAATTAATTTTTTTCAAATGCGTTTTTTGAAAAAAAAAATATTTCTATAAGGTTGGATACTCATACTGATAGCACACTTAACGGGAACCACAGGGTTTTTGTTACATGCTGTATACATTAAATCTGAGCTGACACTAAATGCTCTGTGTTAATTTACTCGTATTTAGTTATTTGGCATTTGTTGTAATGTAAAGCTGGAATTTTTTTGACAAACATTGATTCTTTGAGAGAGGAAACTAAAGAAATGATTAACAAATATGATGCATAATATATAATTATAGCATGGGTACGTATTAGTACGTATTATGTTTGTAAGTATTATAACTACTTATCAAACTAAATGAAACTTAGATGTTAAACAATGAGACAGTGACAACCCTGCAACAAAATTTAAGTCTCGCGCGGTGCGGGAATCATTTTGTTTTTACTATGGCCATAGTTAGTGTTATTTTCCGATACCAAACTATCTGTAATTATATGCGGGAGGGTATTAGATGAAGATGGGACTTTATTTATTACTACTATAATTACCTATCAATTAACAAATAAACTTAACGTACATATAATTTTAAAAACCAGTGTTACCAATAGTTCTATCTATCACTGGTTTTTAAAATGGATTGATTTGTCAGTATAGAGAGTTATAGCAAAATATCCCAGTTGTGGTGAATACTTAACTCGTGAGAGCTTCCCACTTTTACATATTTTTTTCTAAAGTTAACGCTTTATATTTCTGTTTCTTCAGCGCCAATATTTTAAGAACCATCCGTTCTTCTTTATCTATCAAAGATTTTTCATCCAGATTCTAAAAATATTTTTTCGACCCAGCAACTTTTTTCTTTAAAAAAGATTAGTTTGGAGCCCTTATTTTTTTCTGATAATATAGCTGTTGCTGCATTTTTTTTTTTTTGGTTAAATGTTATGGTATGTATCGAATTATAATCTTTAGATGTTTCCTTAAACTGAGCTTGAGAAACGAATAGGCTCTCTATTATGCTGTTACGGTGGTCACACACGGTCAATACAAATGATCATTCCAACTGATCAGTTCAAACTAAAATTGTCGATATTTTTTAAAATAGTGGATTTACGATATATCGATAAATAAACTTATATGTAAAACTCCGATATTAATATATTTATTATGATCGATATATCAAAAATCCACTATTTTAAAAAGATATCAACGCTTTTAGTTTGAACTGATCAGTTGGAATGATTAGTTGAACTGACCGTGTGTGGCGACCAATATTATCTTTCTATGCAGCTTACTCAACTTCAATAATAAGAAAGTAGAAATTACTATTTTATAAATATGTACCTACCTATTTATTTCAATCAAACTTAATATTATTGTCTTCAGTGAAATATTAAAAGGAAATTGTCAACGAACCAGGAATAGTGGGAGTGGCACTCGTGGCACCTTAAGATGATAATCTGTCATTTGATAGATTAAATGATGACTGATGGTTCTTATATTCTTTATATTTTTTTGAAGTAGAGAACCGAGCTTCATTTCCCGACTATAACTAACAACATTTTACAGGTGGCACGGGGCATTACATCTTAGTCCTCAAGGTTGACAACTCATTTACAATCTGTATCGGTTTGTTAGCCTTGAGATCGTAAATATACATGGAGCACAGTTTACTTACCATCAAGTTGAGTGTAAGCTAGTTTGCTTACTCCGTGATAAAAAAAACTTACAGAATATTGAGTATAAAAGTAAGGAGTACCAACTCCCATAGTAGAATAGTTGAAAAAGTGGCCATCTGTAAACAGTAAGTAACAGCTCAAAAACTCTCCAAAACAGCGCTGGAGTAGCTACTGGGATGAAATGAACTTAGCAGTTGTCGACGGTTTGAAGTGCTGCTAAACTGCTCAGTAGCTCTAAAATCTAAAATAATTTTATTGAGTAATTATAACCTCGAAAAAGTCATTCATCCCACTAATATTTTTCGACACGTTCTTTAAAATTTTGCCCGTATTTAGCCCGTGGCGCCACCCTTATTTAACTGTTTTCTATGGACACTTTTTAATACACAGTCTGTGTACTCCTTACTTCTACACTCCATATTACAGAACAAATACAGTGTAGTATTAAAGTTAGCTTGGTGCCCTCGACCAATCGCCTTTTACCATTTGCCAATACTTGAAAGTTGAAAACACTCTGATTTGATTGAGAATTCTTGTGACCAAAGCCCGGTAAGCCTGTTATTAAATGTACTTCCATATATCTCTTAAACTCTAATCTTTAGGGAACCTGCATAAGTAAAATACAATTTGGTCGAAGTTCACAGTTAGTAATATTAATATAATATATACTCTTAAGTATTTTATTATGTTTAATTTGATGCGAGTTTAATTTAAATTACACTATACTAAAGCTCTAAATATATTTTAAATAAGTCAGAAAACATAATCTAAAAGTGATTATATGCACGATATACACGGCTGTATACCTTTGCCATTTTATCGATAACTATTTGCAAAACGGTATATCAAGTCTATTTAACCTCCATAATTATGGAGTGCAGAAGTAAGGAGTGCAGACTGTGTATTATAGTTCATAAAAGATAGCTTGATCTCTGCGACAGCTGTCAGTAAAATCACGCCTATGAAGTCCTGAATTTCTTAGTAGTACAGACAGTACCTGTCAATGTCATACTTTATGGGCATGCCGACCTAATTAGTGCATGCCCATAAAGTATGACATTGACAGGTACTGTCTGTACTACTAAGAAATTCAGGACTTCATAGGCGTGATTTTACTGACAGCTGTCGCAGAGATCAAGCTATCTTTTATGAACCATAAAAAAGTGTCCATGGAAAACTGTTAAATAAGGGTGTCGCCAATATAACTCGGGGTAAATTTTAAAGAACGCACCGAAAAATATTAGTGGGATAGACGACTTTTTTGAGGTTATATTTACTAAATAAAGTTATTTAAGATTTCAGAGCTACTGAGCAGTTTAGCAGCACACTTAAACCGGCGACAACTGCTAAGTTCATTTCATCCCAGTAGCTACTCCAGCGCTGTAGTGGAGAGTTTTTGAGCTGTTATTTACTGCTTACAGATGGCCACTTTTTCAACTATTCTACTATGGGAGTTGGTACTCCTTACTTCTACATTCCATACTCCATTATCAAGACTATCGCTCGGTGACAGCGACAACTCGGCTGATCAGTCGTATACCTATCAAATGCCAAATGGTATATTGTATGAAGGCAAGCAGCATCTGTTGGAAAAATCCGAAACAACACGACTATTACTATGGAAACCATGAACCATCAATAGTAGTACTATTATTGTAATTTTTAAGATTAAAAAAAAAAATAAATTATATTAATGTCATTAAGAGTTAGTTATGTATAAAAGGTAACAGCATCTTT